CCCCCCCACTTCCAGCTTTTAAAATCTGTGCTAGTTACCTCTTCCTCTGTTACAAATTACCCCAAAACTTAGCAGCTGAAAATAACAGTTTTTGTCTTATAGTCTAGATGGGTCAGGAATCTGGGTGCAGCTTAACTGGGTCCTCTGCCTCAGTATCTCTTATGAGATTGTGATTGTGGGCTCATCTGAAGGTTCAACCAGGGGAGAATCTGCTTCCTAGCTCACTTGTGTGGTTGTTGGCAGGATTCAGTCCAGATCCTGTTAGATGGAGGCCTCTTTGAGTTCCTTGCTTGTGAGCCACTTTCATAGGGCAGTTGACAACATGTCTGGCTCCCTTCCATCACAGCAAAAGATGGGTAGCCAAGACAGAAGCCAGAATCTTTTTTGTAACCTGATCTTGGAAGTAGCATCCAATCACTTTTGCCCTATTTTCTTTGTCAAAAACAAATCATTATGTCCAGCTTACACACGAGGGGAGGAGATTATACAAGGCAGGAATCATTGTAAGCCATCTAAGCAGCTGTATGATCTTTGGCCACTATTTGCATGTGATGGCGAATCTGCATTTACTGGATTTAAAATTAGAAGAGTGTCTAGAACACACCAGTGAAATAACATTTACATAACACATTTAACAGTTTCTTTACAACCTAATAATTTACTGAGACTTCAAAATAATTTTATGGGCTTAACTTCACACAAACCAAGTTTTGTTCCTATACAAATGTACCCATTGTTCATATATTCCCATGAAGTATGATGGAATATAAGACTTTTAAGAGATTTTTGTAATCAAGCACATCTGACTATTGGACAAATGAATCATGTACCCATGAAATGAAATAATAAATGAGTTTACTTACCCTAGATTAATTTTAAGATAGTAATTATTCCTTTACTTTTAAGTGTAGTTTTTGAATTATGGTAGAAGAGGTAATATTGCTTACACTTTCAGTTGTAGTAAATGTGGTTAGTATTTATACATACATACAAACACACAAATGAAGAAATATCTTACTATTGTTGGTATTGGAGGAGGGGGACTGGGAAGAATGGTTGCAATAACCCATACTTGTCCTGGAAAGTGTATATTCATTGAAACATGGAACCTTTGAGGCTTTTTTCTTTGTTAGTCATCTTTCAGTGTATTCATTATTTCTGCCCTAAACTTCTTTAACTGTTGCCACAGAAACCACTTTAATCTAAAATATAGGCATGGCACACTGGCTTGAAAAATAATAGTAATTATTTTTTCTCATAGATTATTTTAGTATTACTTGGTTCAGAGCTTGGCTTTGTGTTGTCTGATAAATACAGTGATGTTTAGATTGAAAATGCATAGTCAGTGCATTTAAGTAATTTTTTTCTCTTTTTAATTGTTTATATTATTACTGATATCCCATTTTCACCCTCCTTTGCTCATCTCCACCCAGCCCTCACCCCCCCTTCCCTCTGTCCAACACCAAACTGTCGTCTGTGGTTTATGCATATATGTTCTTTGACTAATCCTTTCACTTTCTTTCATCCAGTTAATTTTCATTTGTGGATTTTAGAAACATGATGTTTCTTTCATATTTCCCAGAATATATGGTGGTATATTTTATAGTTCTACTAAAAAGCTTAAAATGGAATGGAGGAAGAGAGTGCACATAGATGCCTAAAGCTTTTTATTTCAGAGTTGCAACTAAATTTCTGATTGTTGTGTGATACTGAGAAAAATTGCCAACAATAAAAACAATATTATTAAATAAATAACATTGTGGATATCCAGCCATGTTCTAGATTATTCCTAATATATAAAATTGTTTTTCTTTTTCTCTCTTTTACAGGTAATATAACATTACAAAGCAAGATGGGTAATATCACAGTAGGTATGTGATAAGATGCTAATTAATAAATTTTGCATGCTTTTTAATATGGCTGTATTTGTGATATTTTGTTAGGGTAAATAAAGTCTACAGTTTAGCTGATGACTTGATAGGATCCTGATATGCAAGTTAAATATAGGCAGACCCAATGTATGAATATGTGAAATTGTTTCTGGAAATGTATTGGTTCATTATCCTATAAATATTGTATAATTATTGGTTTGGCATTAATCAGAATAGGGTTAGAATTCTAATTTCACCACTTTCTATACATGGGCAAATTACTTAACTTCTCAGTTTCCACATCTGAAAAAATAGAAATAATAGTAAGTTCCTATCATATAGGGTTGTTATAAGGATTAAACATATATATATGTACTTTAGCACAGTGTCTGACACATGGTAAAAATTTAATAAATAATAGCCATTTTTGTTACTGTTATTGTTCTAATCTTAGGCCAGAACAAATTGTACATTAGACCTAATCACCACATGTGATGCTGTGCCTGCTGGAGGAAAAGTTCAGAGTTCAAGATAGTTTAGATAAAGCTTTTCTCTATCCCAAGTAGTATCTGCTTGCCTGTTAGGTGAAGGCGCACTCTGAGCTCTCGGAGTGGTGGTGGTCTTTTAGTCCTTAGAGGTTCAGGGGTTTGGAATGGGGAGCTGGGATCCTTATGGGGGAGCTGTGGCTCATAGCCAGTATAAATGCCTGGGGCCTCCTGTTTTTGTCCTTTTTGACATATTTTTTCTTCCTTTGTGCTGATTGAAATAGTATGGCCAACAACCCTTTTCACTATCACTTCTGGATTTTCTGGTTTAAAGTGCACCTCCTTCTTTAAGTTTTCTAGAGATTGCAACTTTTATGTTGAATGGGAGATAAAAAGAAGATAAAGACTTCCTCAGTGATAATTGTAAATCATTTTAACACATGACAGAAGGACTTAACCCGTGTTCCAGTGGCAAATCAAGATTTACTGTTGACCCTTTGTGCCGTTTATCAGAGGACACATCTGAGAATAGTAAGGGGAGTTTCTAGGTCGAGCAAAAAGGTACACTGGCAAGAAGCTGAGCTGGCTGGGGAGAAGTCCTAGACGTGGGCGAAGTTTGTAGCAGTAAGGGAAGGGGAAAAGAAGGGGAATATTCCAGATTGGAGGCACAGGGAGTCTCACTACCTACTAGCAGCCCTTTAGGCAAATGTGAACTTGGGGAATACATATAAAATAATATAATATAAATATAATGCTAATATTATTCTTCAGTAGAAATGTGGGAACATAAAGTGAAAAACATTCGGTCTAAAATTGGAAATAAATAGTTATTTCTCCATACTGGAAAAAAGTAGTAATAATAAGGATGAAATGTGCAGTAATTTACATCTTTGAAGATGATTTCATAGAACTCTGTATAAGTGATTAACGTTATGAATTCTTGTTAATTTTCCCTATAAACATCCCCCTTTTCCCACTGTTAAGTATTAGAGGGATTTTAAGGCAAGGTGTTTTATTTTTCTTAGATAAATCTCTCCACTCAAAGAAAATTACCTGAGCCCAGAGATAAGAAATATTTTATAGATATATATAGACATCCTATATATATCTATAAAATATCTACATCTAATGTTGTTTTTAAAAACTTTTTTAAAAAATTTAGATTGTTCTTAAAAATACACAAATATGTAAAGGTAAATAAAGGTTGTATTTCTTATTTTGTAAACATCATTGGTAAATCTTGAGTTCTATTCTTGAATCAAAATAAGAGAAAAAAGCATGCATTTGTAAGTTATGTATTGATCTGTGGTAGTGTGGAAAAATATGGACCTTAAAAGTAGATTTGACTGAATTTTAGTCCTACCACATAGTAAACTGTGTAACTTTCAGTAAATTATTAAACCTCTCCAAGTTTTCATTTTTATACGTAAAATGGATACCACCTATATAGCACAAGGTTGTTGAGAAATTAAAGTATAAACAGTACAGACCAATGCATGGTAAGCATTCAATAAACTATCCTCTTTTCTCTTACAGTTTATTATTATAATATAGAACCATTAAGCCACTGTGTTTTAACCTTAATTGTAAGGGAAGTGTTCATTTTGTAAATTCCTTTAATTCTTTGAATATCTATGTTAAGACTTTAGAAGAAAGAAAGATAGAAACTATTTCGCTATTTGTTGTTTTCAAAATTACGTTAGCATTTGAAGAGAACACTGGGTATGGCAGTAACTAGCCAACATATTTATTGAGTGCCTATTCTATGTCAGGAACTCTTAGGTACTGGGGAATAAATTGGTCAACAAGACATAGTCTCCATATTCAACTTAGGGCTGAGAAAAAAGACAATAAGCATGTAAATAAGAAAAGATCATTTCAGTAGCGAGATGAATAAATAAGAGAAGGTAATGGGATAGAAAGTAGGGAAAAGAAAGCTATTTCATTTAGCAATCAGGGAGGGTCTGGAGAAGGGATATTTGAACTAAGGTCAGAATAATGGGGAAGAGTCATGTCAAATTCTAGATGCAGAGCTCCCTGGAGGAACAGTCAGTGCAAGTCCTGAAAATGGAATGAGTTTATCATTTTTGAGGTATAAAAAGACTTGTGGAGAGAGTTGTAGGAGATGAGGTAAGTGAGGGCTAGATCATTGGGCCTTGAAGATATGGTAAAAATGGGGACTTTATTCCAATTACAACAGGGTATTAGCAAGGTTGGGGTGGTTAATAGATAATTTATATTTTAAAAGAGCAACCCTAGCTGTTGTTTCATAATGTGCCAGAAGAGTGCACAAGTGAAAACAGGTGACTAGAAAGCTTAATTTGTTGATCCATTCTCCTGATACTGGATACCTGGGCTGTTTCTAGTTTTGGGCAATGTCAATAAAGCTGCTATGACCATTCTTAGACCAGTCATTTTATGGAGCCGTGTGTGTGTGTGTGTGCATTTATATATATATTGATTTTTCCTCTTGGGTAAATACCTAGGAATGGAGTTGCTGGGTTGAGTGGGTATATATATATTTAGTTTTGTGATAAACGAACACACTTTTTCCCAGAGTTCCATTTTATACTCCCTCCTATAATGTATGAAATTCTAGTTGCTCCACATTTTCACCAACACTTATTATGGTCAGTCTTTTAAATTTTATGCATCCTGGCATGTGAATAGTAGTATATCTCTGGTATTAATTTACATTTCCCTGATGACTACTAATGGTATTCAATATTTTTTCATGTGCTTATTGATCATTAGTATATCTTCCTTTATGAAGTTTTGTTCATATCTTTTGCCTATTTTCAATTTGATTACTTTTCTTTTTATTATGGAGTTGTAGGAGTTCTTTATATATCATGGGAACAAATTCTTTGTCAGACATTGTTTTTCTGTATTTTATCTCAGCCTATGGCTTGCCTGTTTATTTTCTTAATAGTAAGCAAACAGGGACAATGAGAAGTTAGAACTACCTTTAGACAACAAGTTTTTTCATATCTATAAGCAAGAATTTTGTAACTAACTATATATTACTTGTCCCTTAGGAAAAGCTGGTTTTCAGTAAATTGGTAAATCTCTTTGTCTTAAATAGAATCATATTTTACATTTTTTGGGGGGGGGGGCCAAGCTCGTGTCCTGTAAACAAAATGGTTTTCTCTAGGTATTGGCCAACTTTATGAGTAAAGGCCCAGATAGTAAGTATTTTTGGCTTTCTGGGCCACACATTCTATCTGTATTATAAAACTCATTTTAACACAAAAGCAGCCATTGATAATACACAGACAAATGGATGTGTCTGTGTTCCAATAAAAGACTTTTAATTAAAACAAGAGGTGGCTGTAGTTTGGTGACCCTGCTCTAGAGCCTACCTCAAATCCATTGTTGTTATGATTCTGGAGAAATTTTGAATTTGATGTCTTAATCCCAAAGGTGACAAATGGGTAATGTTTATTTGAAATTCCTTGATTGGTTGGTTTGTGTTTTCCTTAAAAGATTTACTTGAGAAAGTTGAAGGCAGCCAACCTAATTGAAATTTACTGAGGCCCTGGCCATGTAGGTGGCTCAGTTGGCTAGAGCATCATCTAGTACACCAAAGGGGTTACAGGTTCGATTCCCAGTCAGGGCACATACCTAGGTTGCAGGTTCAATCCCCAGTAGGCATGTGCATGGGAGGCAACTGATNAAGAAAGAAAGAAAGAAAGAAAGAAAGAAAGAAAGAAAGAAAGAAAGGGAGAAAGGAAGGGAGAAAGGAAGAAAGGGAGAAAGGAAGGGAGAAAGAAAAGGACAGCCCTGGCCAATTTCGCTCAGTGGTTAGAGCGTCGGCCCATGCACTGAAGAATTTTGGGTTCACTCCCCCCTCCCTCTTCGTTTGGAGCGAGTATGGGGGGAAATCAATGGAGTGTCTCTCTCACATTGATGTTTCTCTCTCTCTCTTTCCCCCTCCTTCCCTCCCTCCCTTACACTCTCTCTCTGAAAAAGCAATGGAAAAAAAAATATCCTCAAGTGAGGATTAACAAAAAAAGAAAGAAAGAAAGAAAAGAATATGTGACAGAGCTGAAAATATTCACTATTAGGTCCTTTTCAGGAAAATGGCCAACCCTGATAGTCACAGATATGTGTGAATAACTTTAAATATGTGTTATGGATTCCTGAAGCTCTATAGAGGGTACTGTTATTAGTATGCTTTCTTTTTTGAACATAAAATGTGGCCACGTTGTAGTAGATGTTACTTTTTGTGAGTTATATTTTGCTGCATAATAAATGTCCATTGTATTAGGGCTCCTAAATAAATTGATCTTATAAAACATTTTACTATTAAAAAAAAGTTGGTAGATGAATGTCCCAGTCTCCTTGCCACTTGGGTAGAACAGCATCGAGACATATTCTAAACCACTCCCAAAGCTCATGGTGGGATTGAGTTTCAGTTGTCCACAGGTAATGAAGTTACCTGCTCATTACTACACCCTGATTGGCTTTTTTTCTTTCCTACTCATGTACCCACTCCATTGTTGGTACTTCCTGGGAGCACTCCCAAATAAATTACTTGCACTCAAATCCTTATCTCAGAGTCTTCTTTTGGGGTAATCCAGTTTACCTTATTTCCTTCCTTCCATATTTTCCTCCCTCTCTCCCTCCCTCCCTCTTTCTTTCTCTCTAAAAATCAAGAAAAACATATTCTTGGGTGAAGATTAAAAAAATTTTGAGGAATTGAGATCAGCAGAAGCAGAACAGTTACAGGAACAATAAGTGATTTGTAGGAACCTGAGAGGAAAATATGTTGGCATAGCAGGAGCTTCAAAATATTGGAGTGGGTGTTGAGCAAAAGATATATAATATTATTCAATTTGAATATTAAGAGACTTGAGATGATTTAGGTATTATTCTGTCTGATTTGAGGAAAATAGACTGTGTCTTCTCTATGATTTCTTTATTAAGAAGAATATGTATAACTATGGTCCGTTATTTCTAGTTTAGATAATATAATTAATTGGTCAGCTTCTTCAGCAATCTCATCAGTCATTTGGATTTTGTATGTACATTGTAACCTACCTTCCAAAACCCTGTTCTTCCTAATTTCCATAATACAGAGCTCTCTTAGAAGCTGAAGTACTATAAAATACTTTATTATAAAAATCCTGATTTTCCTTGAACTAATTTTTAAAAATTGATTGGAGAGAGAGGAGAGGAGGAGAGAGAGAAAGAGATTAATCGATTTGTTGTTCCATGTATTTATGCCTTCATTGGTTGTTTCTTGTATGTGCCTTGACCAGGGATCAAACCCACAACCTTAGTGTATCAGGACAACACTTACACCAAATGAGCTACCAGGCCAGGGCTGAACTCGTATTTTTATAAATAATAACTTTCTTCTGGAACACCAGGCCATGTTCCATTTTAAAAAGGAGAGAGTAGAGCTTGATAATAGATAATAGTGGGATAGGGGTGTTAATAGAGTTGCTCACCTATCTTTACTTTCTTTGTCCTATGTTGCCTTTTTCAGGAAGGCGTTGCCTGAAGCTGTGTACTGGCAATTATATCTTTAAAAAAAGAATATTTTCATTTGGTGGTGGTGCAGGGGTTGCCTTGTGTGTTTTTTCTAAGCCCAGCCTTCTACATGCTCCTTCCCAAATACAGAATACCTAAGCAGGACATTAATTTAGAAAACTTTACTTGAAGGGACCTTAAAATTCTGCCTTTGCAAATCCTTTACTATAATACAAATGATTGCAACTAAAAGTTATTGAGTCTAATTAAGGCTTATATATTTAGTCCTATATGTAAAACTTTTTCCCTATTCTTGCAGTTAGTGTAGCTTTGGAAGCATAGGAATCAAGTTGCAAAAATCAAGAAATGTCTTTTGTGTTGCTCTTCCTTAGTATCTACATGTTGAAACTTGAGGTAGAACTATAAAACTTCAGAAGAACTTTCTGAATATGCTTGACCGATTTTGAGAGAATTCTCCTTTATCCAAAGGAAAATTGCAAAGTTTGGAATTTTAGCCTTTTAAGTTTATTTGTTATTCTCTGCTATTAGTAACATGCATATTACAAATATCTGTTTCTTTGGTTGCATATAGTGTTAGCTGATAGTTGACATCAGTTTCTTTTTCTTTTTTATGTGTAATTTTCCAGGGAAACTCAGTAGTCTCTGTCAGGCCAATAAGACCTTTGTCCCAAATTGTGATGATACAAAACTGTAGAGTCAACTTATTCCAACCACTGTCTGGACTAACAATTTCTGTTAACTTCTTAATCACCCTCTGTTCACTTCCCTTAATCACCCTTAAGGGAAGCCTTATTTCCCGTAAGGCTTCCTCTAAGAACTATAGCATTTCTCCATTATGTGAATCTCCAAAATATGAAATTCTGTGAATGAAGCCTTAATTTGACCCTTGATAGTTAATTTTTAGTTCCAATCACTTGTATTGTAGGAAAAAAAAAACTGTTGTATGTTTTGCCACATAGCTTTTTCAATATCACCTTTGCTTTCTCTTTTGAAAATATATCTTGAGCTAGAAAGTTTTTTTTGACAGCCTCCAAGGGATGGGCCATTATCAGAGCTCAACACTGATAACATGAGAATGTAATTACTTAGAGGCTTAGGATATAATTATTTATCTGTGTTTATTTCCCATTTTCGGGGGGGGAGGGGGCAGAGAAGTGAGAAGTATTTGTAAATCACATAAAAATTTTGTACATTTTCCCCCTAGAGAAAGCAAGAAATCAAACTAATGTTTCAAATATTTTATTTTGTTCAACTTGGGATAATGCACACATTGTGTAGTCCACATTTTTTATCATAATATATTTTTACTTGGCTTCTTTTAGGATGCAATAAGGGGCTTTAAAAGGATTTTCTGTTAGTACTTAAGGAGAGAAATATTCATCTTTGTCCAGCTGTTCTATGTCATTTATCTCTAGTGGCTTAATTTCCCAGTATTTTAATGTCTTTTGACAGTTAAAAAATTAAATAAATATTGAATCACTATATTGTACATCTGAAAGTAATATAACATTGTATGCCAACTATACTGAAATTTTAAAAATTAAATTGATTCTGATAAAGGCCATTTTTCAGGGTAGACTAGAGGTAAATTATTATAAATTATCTTGGAGTCAGATTTTAAACAGTTCATTTCCAAGTTGTCTTTGGAGTCATCTAAAATTTAAAGAAAAATGTTGGCTCTTTTATGAGTATACAAATGTTTTTTCCTCCATATTTTACAAAAAGCATAATGGTATAATTTTTGGTATTAGTTTCATCACATTCTCTACTTACTTTGTTTCCACTTTGAAGTAATAAAAGCTCCAGATAAAATATGCTTTTTAAGAGGCTTCTCTAAAAAATATGCTTCTATTTTCTCAGGGCAGTCAGAATATTTAATTAAAGATTCAGTTGCTGTGGGAGAGGAGGAAGGAGAAGCTACTTAGCACTGACTCTTCAACATCATTCTCTTCTTTATCTCTGTCTTGAACTTGAAATGTTGGCTGATTGAAAAATGTAAATCAGTGATGACATAAGGAAATCTGTCAAATCAGGACCACCTTAATTATGATTTTCTTCCACTGACTTAAAGATATCTGTTCAATTCCAGAAACTTGAAAAGAAATATTTAGATATATAAACAAGCTTCACCCACTCTTCAAATGATTCCACCCCCCCGCCCCTCTAAGAAATACAACAAAACCTTATATAGAGTAATCTTTCACCCTGAACAGCACTTTCTAGTACTAGTTTTTATTTTTGTTAACTTTGCCACTACTTATATGTGACTGCACACAAGATATAATTCTTTTAATAAAGATTGAAAGTTGATAATAAACTAAATGTATCAGTGATGCTTAATGGCCTTGACTGTCAAGGATTCATTGCTTGTGTACTGTCCTTCCTACACATTAGATTTTAGAGTAAACATGTTTAGATAGGGTGCCTTAGATGTTTAGAGATAAGTTATGCAGGTTACTATAGACATGGGAACTTATTATTGTCCGGTTCATAATTCTAGATTTCTGTTCCTGTTTTCATTTAAAGCAGATGACATAGTTATAAGAAAAATTTAATAAACCTTGCAAAACTCTTAGCTCCTTATCCTAATGCTGAAGCAGAGCTTTTTATTTCAAGTTTATAATTCTGGTTGCTCAAATAAGAATGATTATGCTTATGGCTTTTTTCCTTCCTCCTAGATTCGTTGTCTGGATGTCTAAAAGCCTCAACTCATCAGGGTGCCTTAGATGTTTATGTCAGCCAACTGGGGAAGGTGGAATTGGAATCCCATAAAGGTTAGCCAAGTGGAATGTTTTATTTTGACATGTGGTGTAAGGAAGGTTTTACATAACATTCAGGAAACAGATGCTCAAATTATCTACAGTACTGACTGATTTCAAGAAAATTTCTTCTGATAAAACCTGATTTAAAGACTGGAATACTACTCCTATAGACCAATGATCTTTGAAAAATTTGGGGACAGATGGCCATGAAGACTGTCTTTCCCTTTGTAGTGCAAACAAAAATATTGTAATATATTGATTCTCTATTATAAAATGTTCTAGTGTTAGTGTTCCAGTTTTTCAGTTTAGCTTTCTGTCTGAAATAGAATATTCTTTGGAAAATGCTCTCTCATACATTCCTTTGGCAGCTTTTCTACCAGTCCAGATGTGGACTTTCTGAGGCCATCACTCTTATAGAGTAATACGTTTCAAAATGTGAACCTGAAATAAAGGTGTCACCAGGAGGGTCTTCTAAAGTGATTGCTGACTTAGTTTCTTAAAGTATCAAGACTTATTATGTGGCCCTGGCCCCGTAGCTCCGATAGGCCACGATTGTGGGTTTAATCTCTCCAGTTAGAGCACATTTAAGAAGCAACCAGTGAATGCATAAATAAATGAAACAAATCGATGTCCTTTTCTCTCTCTCTCTCTCTTTCTCTCAAATTAAGAAATAAAAAAATTTTTAAAAATTAAAAAGACTTATGTGTCTCTTTCTGTAATCTTATTTCAGATAAATTATTTTAAGAGTCCAGGTCTTTCATTAAAAGTGATATACTTTTGCCTCGCCAGCATGGCTCAGTGGTTGAACATCGACCTATGAACCAGAAGGTCATAGTTCCATTCCCAGTCAGGGCACATGCCTGGGTTTCAGGCTCGATTCCCAGTAGGGGCTGTGTAGGAGGCAGCCGATCAATGTTGATGTTTCTCGCTCAGTGATGTTTCTCTCTCTCTCTCCCTTGCCCTTCTTCTCTCTGAAATCAATAACCAAAAAACCACACATATTAAAATAAAGTCTAGAAGCTCTTGTATATTGGCCAGAACAGGGCTATATGTATAATAAGGAAAATATTTCCTTACAGAGAATGGTTGTTCCTGCTGTTAGTAATTTCTTTCCCCCATTGGTTTTTTGGTCAATGAGGCTCACTTGTCAGAGTGTCAAAATAAAACTACAAATGCAGAGAGGTCTGAAACTGAAGTTATTGCTGACATACAGGTATGATTTGATTTCTCAAGATTACATTTTTTCCCTTTAAATATGTTCTGACTAAATTTCTAAGAGCTTCGTTAATGTAGTTAGGGTATTTTGTGAATGCCATAAAAGTCATATAATTGCATTTTCTTATTATGAAGACCCAAGGAGAAAACAAACAATTGCTACGTTTAATGTAACTAGTAACAGACTAAAAGCTCTTGCATGAAACTTTTTTCCTGTTGTGTATGGATGGGCAGAAGAGTAAAACAAAACAAACAAAAGACATTGTTAATCTTCATCCACTTGAAATATTTTGAGTTTTATTTGAAGTGTTCCGGTAACCTATTGAAATGGCATATGATGCTGCAAAATTTGATTAGGACAACAATTTTGTGTTTTCCTACTGGAACCATGTTATTAGTGGAAGCTTAAAGATAACTGGAAGCAAAGATTTCTGTCTTACTTTAGGTCTCTTCTTACTACATTTGGCAACAGTAACTTTTCAGAGTAATGGAAAGTTATTCAGGATTCTGTTGCTTAATGCTTAGTGAAGACATCTGGAATCCTTTCAATTGTACCACTGTCTTGCTGTAGGGTTCAGGAGAGCCACTTGAGTCTCTTAGGTCTTCAACATTTTGCCATGTGAAAAAGAGTGTTACAGTGCTTGTTTTCTCTCCATAAAAATCAACATGGGACCTTATTAACTCATTCAGAAAGGGTGAGTTTATGCTTGAGAGTCAGGCCTGCATCTGAATACTGACTTTTTCGCTTAAAATTTGTCCTTGATAGAATTGCTAATCTCAATATAGTATTCTTTCAATAAATGGTGGTGTTAGTATTAGTTTTAATATTAACTTTTTAATTTTAAAAGAATGGTGTTGATGTCAGTAACCATGAAGCAGTTGATGAAGTGAAAAGAGGTTGAAGATACAACAGGAGCTCTCCTTTCTTAAAAAAGTGTTAAAGAGGGGACATTTGGGAGTTTTCAAGTCGTGAGAATTCTTCATTCGCAAACAGTAATGGAGTACTGGTAGTGATGGTTTTTGTTTTTCAAGGATGTGGAAAGAGATGGGGATAAAGCTATTTGCACTGCTTAACATTTTAATAGCTCTCACAGATTTAAGATCCCTTTATTTAAAAACAGAAAAAAAATATCACATTTGATGTATTTAGAGATATAAAGGCCTCAGAAAATTTTTAAAATTTGTCATTTTCTACTTTTTAAAGTATGTTGATAGACAAACATTTCTTTTCCATTCATCTGGAAAAATTTTAGGGTTTTTCCCCCTAACATCCTCATATCTGTTGTTCTGGAGAATCTCCTGTCAGTAGTTTACATGTAAACTCTGAAAAGCAATTTGTTTTTTAAATGAAATAAACCAGTTGTAGTGATGTACTTAATTACCTCCTTTTTTGGAGGAGTAAATATGAGAGTTCATCAGTCTTACCTCAAACTTCCAGCTCTAGTGAGGAAGGCTAAGAGGATATGAAATTACTTAAGGAAACTTAAGCTGATATTAACCAAACTAGAAGGCAAACAATGACCCATAAATAAATGCATTCTAAAAGGAATCTTTACAATATTCACAATGTCATCCTGACCATCTTGTCCATAGAGCTGGGGTTAATGTTTTATGGCAGGGGCCTCTTACTTTTTTGATATACGAGAAAGAGAGAAAGAAAAACTTCTGGAAGAGGACTGTGCTGATGAGTTTGCAATGCAACCCACGTCATTGTTTTGAAAAATGATTCCTTAGCTAACAGAATACTTTTTCTTATTTTCTCCTTTAGAAGCTTGAATTACTACAAGATTATAGTGGAAATTAAGTTGAGTGTCTTGCCTCAGGTACCCAAAAGACTAATCCATTGAAAAGATACGTTAGTTAAAATTCAAATATTCTTTTTTTTATTATTATTATCCCCTTGGCCCTCACAAGGTACAACTGAAAGCTCAAGAGCTCAGGTTCTAGTTGTGTTACAGTGATGAGTGAGGTCACAATACGATGAGGTAGCAGTGTGTGAAATACCACATTAAGAGCATGGGCTTTGTTGTCACTGAACTGGATCTGCAGTCTAATGGGAACTTGAGCAAGTTCTCATCTGTAAAATCAGGATTATAGTAATACCTCATAATGTTCATATGGAGATTTAAAGAAGCATGTAATTAAGGTATAATTACACCACAGTAAATGCTCTATTGATCAATCCTTTCTACAAGCTTCATGTGTAACAAACCACTCACTTTTCTGTGATGAGGGCTTTTCACAAAAGAAATACCATCCTAATAACTCACACTCTTGACAGAAGTTACTGTGAATGCCTTGGGAATAAGAAAATGTTGACCCCTCTGAAAGTAAGGAAAAGACTGCTGTTTGAGTAAAGTGCACTGAAGAATAAAGCCAGTGTAGCAGGAGTAGTGCTACCTGCTCATCAATTTTTTGTAATAAGGTCTAGTACTTTTGATTCCTTTGAATTAATAAGCTCTCCTATAAACTTATTACAGGTTCTATTCTTGTCAAGGTTCCACCTTCTCTTCAGGCTCATTTGCAGTTATCAGGAAAAGAAGTCGATGTGAACTCAGAAGTCCATGTTCAAGAGATGGCGGAAGCTCATAAAGATGATGGTGTAATAATTACTGGTAAGGAGGCTACAGTTTACTGTGTAAGATGGATAGTCATTGTCCACACATAAGTATAAATATGGTATGCTTAATTTCAGTTTTAGTCTTTTATTCTTTTTCATTGTCACATTTTGGTGTTTGACACTTTTTTCTTCTAACTGCTTATCAGTAACACAATGCAGACATTGTTTGGAATACTCACTAGTCCTATCATTGGATAAAATTGATTTTTAAAATGTTCTTATCTCGAAGAGACATTTGCCCACCATGTTTATAGCAGCATTGTTCACCATAGCCAGGGGTAGAGGCAACCCATATGTCTATTGATGGATGAATGGGTAAATGAAATGTGGTATATACCACATACAGTGGGATATTACTCAGCATTAAAAGGAAGAAAGGCCTATTATATGTTACAATGTGGATGAACCTTGAGGACATTATGCTAAGTGAATTCAGCCAGTCATGAAAAGACAAACACTGTATGATTTCACTTATATGAGCTACCTAAAGGAGTCAGATTCATAGAAACAGAAAGAAGGGGGAGGGGAAAATGGGGAGTTGTACAATGGGTATAGAGGTTCAGTTTTGCAAGATGAAAAAGTTCTGGAGATCTGTTGCACAGCAGTGTAAGTATACGTACCACAACTGACTGTAAACTTAAAAATGGTTAAGATGATAAATTTTATGTTATGTGTTTTTACCCCAATTTAAAATTTTAAAAATCATACAAAATTTTTTTATGGCACAGCTGCTTTCTGATTCTTGGACATAAAAATCAGCTAAATACATATAATGCAAAATTTAAAGTTAACTTTGTATGATGAGAATAATTAGGAATTTGGTTTGGTATTACACACATCAAAAACTTGTTCTTTTAGTAAAACAAATTCTCAATCCCAGAAATATGAATAGCTTTGTACATTTTTCCTAATTACTTCTGGCTATATTGATCACTGATACTTTTAAAAATATTGTTTTAAAAATATTTATTGTAAATATTTAGTATGTACTTGTAGGTAATATATGTACATACTAAAAATAAATAAAATAAAATTAATGCTGGTGAGGTTTAAATCTTACCAGTTAAAAAACCAAAGTGTGTGATTGTGGTGGTGGCAGTGGCAGTGGTGGTGCTGGCTATGAGGTGTCTTCATAAGATAAAGCTTCAGTTTTAAATATTCATTTTATATGTTAAGAAAGTCTGTTAAAGATCATAGAATATTATCAAAAAGCCTAATGGTAATAAAAATAACACCTATACACTCTCAGATCTAACTCAGTAATTAATGGGCAACTCTTAGGTACATGATGAAAATTTAAGTGTATTAACAAGTATAGTAAGAATCAGCTTCTTGTGGTGATCTCTTGAGTTTGATAAGCAACAGAATTACCCTTTTTGGTCCTATAATCTAAAGATAATATATATTTGTTTAACAGTGTTCCAAATGATAGCGTAATCAAATTATTTTACATGTGTTAAGAATGTTTGAATTATAAATTAACGTTATTTTGTCATTTTTTATTCTGTTACTCATAAAATCATATGCCTTTCTGAAATTTCGATTTCATTTTAATTCAGTTTTAAAACCCCATTCTCATCCCTTCAGCCATTAAAACAAAGGCTTTATTAAATCATTTAAGAACACTTACTAGTTCTGTCGGATAAAATTGGTATCTGCAGACCTGATCTCTTTTATTAACTTCTTGCCTATTTCTACTCCACTAAACCAATACCACCTCAAACTTAATATATTTAAAAACAAACATTATCTTTCACTAGTCCAGCTCTTCCCCCTGCTGCTTTCTGTATTTGCCTTCATTTGGTCAGTCAGTAAGTCAACAAGCATGTATTGAGTCAGGCATGACAAGAAACCAGGAGTACAAAGCTGATAAAATATGGTCTGTCTGCCATCTGAGGAGCTTACATTCTAGTGAGGCAAGACAAACCAGTGAATACAGTAAAGTGAAAAAATGTTAAAATATAGTTATATATGTGGTACTGTGAGAGCATGTAGGTGACACATCTAAATTAGACTAGCACTATGAGTTTGAGGAAGAGAGAGATGTCCAATATAGCTAGAGTATAGAGAGTAAGGGGGAAAGTGGCATAAAAGGAGGCTGGAAAGTTGGCGAGGGAGTCAGATCATATAGGGCCAATTTGGATTTTATACTAAATGCGGTGCAAAAGCACTGAAAGGTTTTAATCTGGGGTTCACATACTCAGATCTGTATATTAGAAAGATCAATGAATGTTGAGTGGGGAAAGGTTAGAAAAGACAATGGTGGAATGAAGAAAAAGCTAATTAGCAGCAGGTTACTGCAGTAATTCAGGAGGAGTTCAGTGGCCTGGACTTCACAGTGATCTATGTGAAATTCAACATGTAAGTAAACCTTCAACAAATTTTGGCTGAAGAAATAGATAAATGGATGCTCTGAGAAATATGCATACTTACCTCATTGGTTATTATGAAGCTTCTCAGCCTATTTAGTTCTTTTTGTGTGTAATTTGTTATGTCTTACACTCTATCCCCTACTTCCTAAACCAGGAAGGCTCAAATTGCAGAATGAATTTTATTTCCTGTTCATAGAGCAAGATCCTAGGTACTGATCAGCAGAGTTCTTTTGTAGAGTAGCAAATGACAGACTATGAGGTTGGGCCCCAGATGGATCTGTAGGTTGTCTCTGATATTAGATTAAACCCATTAGTGTAATAGTACAGAAAGACCTCAGATAAGGTCAGAGCAGTCTTTTTTGGAGAGAACTGTGTGAATAAGTGATTGGGTTTAGAGAAACTTTCATAATTCATTTTGATTCTAAAACTGTTTGGTGCCCAGAAGGCCATAGACATATTTATCAAGTGAATGGAATGTTTTCAGAGGCTTAGAAAATTAGGGCAGATTGCTTTTTCTGTGGAGATTTTCAATCTGAAGCCCAGTTTTGGAAATAATGAGCAGCTTTATACATGAATTACAGGCAATTGAGCTTAGCTCTGCTCATCTGAGTCTTTCTTACAGAGCCTATGAAGCATAGCAACAGAAATATGCTCTCTACTAAGACGTCTGGATTGTATCTGTAGCATGACTTCTGCAAGAAGCCATGCCATAAAATTTAGTCTTGAGGGCCTAGGCTTCCCACAGGGTTTGATGTTTCAGCCCTGTAATTTTATTTGATTTCCTGCTTCATGGTTTGTCTTGCTGTTGCTGTCACTGATAAATAAAGATATATCGTATGATTCTTAAAGTGATTTACAAGTATTATGTGCTATTTTGAGGTCAAAAGAAAGCCTGGGACTCTCTCAGGCTGAAATATTTACCTACTAAAAAGATGTGCACATGTATGTATTCTTTGGGGTGCATTCTCTAATCCTCATTAGTACTTGGTTCTTACTTTTGTCTCTATCCACATATGGCAAATTCAACTGATGGTAAATGGTTTAGGTAAGATATTTCTAGGAAGTTGACTTCTCTATTAGGTTTTAGACTTGGTTCATCAACTTAGACATAAAACCTCATTGTGGAATATCAAGCCCCAAAATGCATGTGGTACAAAGTCCTTTTGTCTTTTTAAAAAATATATATTTTTATTGATTTTAGAGAGAGAGGAAGGGAGAGGGAGAAAGAGAGAGAAGCATCAATTGGCCGCCTCCTGCACGCCCTTGCATTGGAGCTTAGAGGGAGTGAGTCCGAGTAAGTCTGTGTAGTCCCTTTAAGAGGAACTGCCTGGGACTCCAGCAGCACTGTCTCACTAAGCCACAATCCCTGCTGGTTTTTACAGCCAGAAGCAATGGGGCTTTGTCTTCCTGGTCCTAGAACCTTGTGCTGGGGGTCTTGGTGTGGGCCTAGGATACCTCGTTCCTTAGGGGGGACCTTCACAGCCAAGATATCCCTCCCATTTTTATCTGCCACATGTGGATGTGGGACAAGCTCATTCTGCGTATTAGTCCCTCCTATTAGTCTCCATGCTTCTTTTAGTCCATAGTTGTAGGACTTTGATTCAGCCCAGTTTCAGGTGTTCTGAATGATGGTTGTTCTGTAGTTTAGTTATAATTTTGATGTGGTTGTGAGAGGAGGCAAGTACCTTGTTTACCTACGCCACCATCTTGACCAGAAGTCCCAAGTCCTTTTGTCGTAAAGCTCCCAATTTAGGTGTTTAGAGAATATTAGAAAGTGTGTTGCCAGCCAAATGATTGTTGTTTGTCATAGACATAGTAGGGAAGGTGGTACTACTGGTTTTACTTTACTTTAATCAAACTGGAGATGTAAAGCATATAAAAATAAATTCATTTGGGATCAAAATCAAATTAGAAGAGATTTCTCATTTAACTTATTTTTAGTTGGGATAGTTATACACTTATGGTATTGTGATTTATGATGGGAAACTGGTTTGTGGGTTAGAAAAGAGGTTGAAATAGGACTAAGCCCACAGGATGGCATTTTTACAATCTAGAAAAACTGTTTTCTCTCCAAATGGGAAAAAATCTAGTCTTTTGATGTGACTTGTAGAAATCCTTTTTTTTTTTTTTTTT